TAATAAATCTAAAGTAAAATGTGATAAAAAGAGAATAGTTTGTATTTTATAATTGAGATTAGCTAGTGGATTCAATTCTAGATTTCTCATATCTTTAATTGAATCTTTCATCTTTTGTTTTCTTTTTTTTCTCTCTCTTTTTATTCTTGCTTGTTATTATATTCTTTGATTCTTACTTCTCTTCCCTAAAATTCAATTTATTGTTACTTGCATATATTCACAACAATCACTCTCACTCATCATAACTCTCACACTTATTCTTAAATTCTATTTTATCACGCACACAACATAAGAACCAATTTTAATAATCTCTTACAAAACACCTTCCTTGTGGGATCGATAACTTTTTATACTATAACTTGACACGGTTGTGCACTTGTAATATTTTTTGTACATGTTTATGCCGCATCAGTTAAGATTTATTATCAAAATCTCATCTTTTTCATATTAAGTTAAGCTTTAAGCATGAAAACATTGATTAAACACTTTAATAATCATTAAACACTATAGGGATGGGTTTGGATGCAGATGATCTTGCCTTAGTCTCATGTGCAAGCCTATGAAATGAACAGAAAGTGATTTAAACATGCAAACAACTCGTTTTCCCTCGCCACATATCGATGATCTCGCCCTCGTGTCGGTATTTTGCTTTACAAAGCTCTCAAAACTCATAAGAAAAAGATCTAGGGTTTTTAAGGAGAGAGATTGGCTGCTAGGGTTCAGAGATATGATAAAAGAGAGGAATTTTCACGAAAAACATAGTTATTTATAGAGACAAACCCGAAACAAAACCCGTTTGACCCGAACCATGAAACCTAGTCTGACTAGAAAAACCATCTTCGGTATTTTAGTAATAACTTTCTCCTATGACCTCGGAATAAGGTGATTTAAAATTTGTTAGAAAGCTGTTGAAGATACCTACAACTTTAGTCTTTTGAGTTTTTTCATATCCAAACTGCATCAGTGTGTAAAATACGTATACTCTTAACTAGTCATTTTTTTAGATTTCAGGCTCGTGATTATAGGCATGATTTCACTCCTATATTCACATATATACATTGAATTAATCTCAAATTAATTTCTAGTATTCTCAAACATCAATAAATATTATCTATCACCATGTAACACATTTATTATTATTTATTACCATATTTTTAAATTCATGAGGTTTTACACATTGCATGTTCGGCTTCCTTCACCTGCACTGTCACTTTGTGTGTAACCTCTATAGTATTTCAAATTTCCTAGCAACAGTACAAGTTGATGCATAATTAAATTCGTCAGTAGTTAGTGAATAATAAAGAGCGTTGCTTGCCTTGGCATTTTAGGAATAGAGCTTTATGTCATTCGGAGTCCCTTTATCTCTATGACTAAGGTGGTCTCATTAGCACTAGTAGTTGGTTCACTATAGTCAATCTCTACAATATCTCAGATATCAAAGTAGGTGAATAACATGAAGTTTTTCATGTGAACTTTCTAATAGGTGTAATTTGACCCATCAAAAAGCAGGGGTCAGATAATTGTGTGTCCCTCAGGGAAATCCGCTGCATCAGCCAGCGTAGACATCTCTACTCTATGTTGTAAAACTTAAAAATGAGTAACTTTGCTCTGATATCACTTGTTGCATTTGAGACGCAAACTTGGAGGAAAGGTTAATAGGATTGCTTACTGTTTTTTGATATCACATATAAAATGTAGCAGAAATAAAATAATAATATAAAACAGTAAGCAATAATCAAATTTCAGAGACACATAACTAGAACACACGAGACTTTTATTGTAGTTTGGATAAATTACAACTACTCTTATTTCTCATGAAGGACTTCCTCACTATGACCGAGTTCTCCTAAATCAGGTTTGTGATTCAGTAGGCATACAAAGTTGCATCCTAGTTATCCTAAAACTAATCATCTAACCTAAACTCATCACACTGACTACCTAGCCTTAATTAGTTCCCCAAAACTCAATTAAACCGGCTTGAGCATGCTGTGAAAAGAAGAGATTTAAAACACACAACAATTATCATCTACAAGAAATTGGAAAGATATTGCAGCACTTTTGATTAACAAATCAAACTACATGGTAGTACAAGTGAAGATATGGAAGTTTGACGTAGACTATGTGGTCCTAGGGCTGCTCTTTATGCAGTTGATTAATCATACGGTGACGAACACAGCAAGTGAGAGATTGATGAGGCTCCAAGGGGATCAAAAAGTCTCTCCTTTGTGGATCTCACAAAACCCTAGCTTTTCTTCCCCCCTCCCCTCCTAACCCCCTTCTTTCTCTTAAACTTAGGTCATGAAAGAGTCGCCTAAAACATAGGAGAGAATAGAAAGGTATACTGCAATGAACGACTGTGATTTAATCTAAAATTTAGAATCAGTCATACGACTATTAACGATGGAAATTGACCATTGATGGTCAATGTTGCCATTGATCATTTGAATCACTCTAGACATTTGAATCATCGGTGGTCAAGATGATCATTGATGGTCCATAGAGGATCATTGATGGTTGATCATTGATGATTAATGTTTTGAAAATAGCTGTTGAGCTGATTCTTTACATTAATCACCTCGTTCATAGTTCACACATGTATAAACCTTACTAGATCATCTCAAATATAAACCTTACTAGCTCATCTCAAACGCATGTTCGACTCAAATGAATACTTGTTATTACCCAAATAAGAGAGATTATACGAACAACATTCTAACAATATATATAATGAAGCTAGAGGGACTAAAATTAGCGTGTTATCGTTGAACTTTTTCATTTTGAAGTGACTTATATGTCAACCTTATTGATGAATCCTATGTTGCTTTGTTTAGTCTTTTGATGCAATTCTTCTTAATTTGCGAGGTTGGTGCATTAATAGGAATTTCAAAATATCTCTTGCATATTCTGGTGTTGGTCTTGATTTATCTTTGGTGAAGTGAAAGCAAACTATATTGAGGGTTAAATTTGTCAAAGTATTTCTATTTTGTTGATAATTTTTATATTGAGATTACAAATTAGCTTATTAAAGTTGATGATTAATAGCTTTGTGGGTAATTTTTCAAAATTGATGATCCGAGGGATAGTCTTGCAAATGCTAAGATTTAGAGAGCATGTATGCATAACCCAAATTTATTGTTCACTGACCAAAAAAGGATAAATTTCATTACCCCCAAGGCTTTGGATCGTCTCATGAAATCCTCTAAAGCTTTTACAATTCCCCAAAAGACCCCTCCAAGGGTGTCAATGCTAATGGCATAGCCGGAGTGTTGGTTGATCCGTAACATTGTTAGGTGGCTTCGTGGGGAATCTTGAAAGTTGAATAGGCTCTGTGAGACTCCAAACCACAAGAGTGTTCTGTGAGGGTGAAAAAAAAAATTAGGAGGAATTCATGGAAAATCCCCTGAGTTTAGGAGGAATTCGTGGAAAATCCCTATTTTCAACTTTGATATTTCTAAGTTTTTTGGCACTTTAACAAGTCCAAATTTCACTGTCATTTAGCTTTAACCCTTTGTCATTTATTTTTCTGTTTAAAATGTATCATATGTATAATGTGTGATATATTTAGAACAATAATACCCTTAATGATGGGAATTCCTACCCTCTGCTCCATTTCTTCCTCCTACTCTCCTACTGAAGCCCTACTGACTGAGGAGAAATAAATGAGATAGAAAGGATATATTTTCATCGTAAAAGTACTGCAGTGCTAACGTTTAGCACGAGACAAAATTTAAAAGGAAAATTAACCAGAAGTGAAAATAGAGTAGTAAAACTAAATGACAGTGAAAGTTTTATAGTGTCAAAGTATGAAATTTTGGGGGTGTAAAACTTAAAAATGGTTGACAGTTTAGAGCACAAAGGTGCAAATGACCCTTCAGACAGTGGGGCAAGATTTATAACCTAAAATGATTTGTCAATGCAACCGCAATCTTCGAGAGGTTCTTTTTATTTTTTATTTTTTATTTTTTCATTTTTAATTTTTACTTTTATTGTTTTGTTTTTCTTAATGTAAGGATTTTTTTGTTGTATTTTAAAATATTAAGATATTAGGGACTTAACATGAAGAGAAGAAAACTAACTTGACCTCTTAAACGTTGCAGTCGCAATATTGACGAATCCTTTTAGGTTATATAAATCTTGGCCCATCGTCTTCGAAATATTTCAAAAAAAAAAAAATGGTCCTGATTGGGTTAGTGATACTTATTTATTAAATTGCCTTCACCAAATAGGTTAGGACGAGCAACTGATAATTGAGGAAGTTGTTTTAATATGTACGAACGTCAGACCAGTTTCATTGAAATGGGGGCATGGAGTTGTAATCAGATTTCGAGGACCTCAGAATTTTAAGAGATTTAAGGGTCTAATTTCAAAATATTAAATATTTAAGGGACTACTAGTGTTCAAAATATTAAAATATTTTCATGAAACAACGACGTACCACAAGTATCTCAACTGTTTATTCACAGTCTGCAACCATAGTTGCAATTGGAAAGTTTGCCTCCTAACCTGTTTCACTCCTCTCTATGTTGAGATCTAGTCGAACCAGAGGGGTACTTACTAAAACTGAGGTTAATTTGCAAGGGGAAAGGCAAGGCTACTGTTTGTATTAGATTTCCTAGAAAAGAAATGAAAAAGCACAAAAATAATAATTCTTGTAAAAAACACAGCTCAAGTTTTACTTGCTGTTTTAATTATATTACAAACATATCTTTCAGTATTAATTATATTACATATAGATCTTTCCAAAATCCCCAAAACCATATTTGGGCCACACCTTCCCCTGGGGAAACATTAATAGCTAAAGGAGAAGGGAAATTTTGGTTTACCTTTGTTTGGGAGTTCCATTTAGAAGAGTAAATGAGGGAAACGAGAGGAAAATTTGAACTAAAATCTTAACCCCCCAAATTGGGAGATAAAGAAGGGGAATGGAAGGAAGAGAAATTAGGAAGGAAAAAAATTTCCCTTCCTTCCCTTCCCTTAGTGATCTCCCAAACACACCATAATAAGAAACAGAAATCGGTGTTCATCTTTTATTTAAATAAAATTGCAAATGAAGACGATGAAAACCTAGCATACACGAACGAAATAGACAAATAATTACATGCCAATCTAGCTGGACTTGAAAAAAGTTCAAAATTTTCCAGCGATTACCTGCAATATTTTACATCGAATGACCTTCATCCGAAGAGCCTGCATAACCTGGTCTTGATATCTATGCGCTCCGAAAAGGTCTTCGACAATGACATGGCAAGAACCAAACGTTCAGACTGATACCAACTGGAAAATTCCAGCGTCAGGCTCATCTTTTATTTGAGTAGATTAAATCCCCAATTGTTATCAGAGAGTCATCAGAGAACAAGTGCTTGAGGTCCATTCATGAAAACCAAAATCCAGTGTTAAATGTGATTTCTACAGAGTCTCTGATCTCTTTCAACTTAAAGCGTTCTTTTACCATCAATGGAAGCAGCAGAGAGGACATTATTCGCATATGTTATCCTCAAGCTTCAATGTTATATTGAACCAGCGTTTTGAGGAAACAAATTCAAACCACAAGCTTCAATGTCATATTGAACCAGCCTTCGAGGAAACAAATTCAAACCACAGCAAAGGTAAAATATGATCAGAGTGGGTACGTGCCCAACTCTTGACCATGATGGGTAAGAAGAATATTCCTCCCACCGACCCACTGTAGCCGGTAAGATAAATCAAGATTATGAAGTAAGATCTTGAGATTATCCGCCTCATCCAATTCCCTTGGGCTATCCTACAATGATTTAAGTTTGAATATGAGCATGCTAGATAAAGTAAAATCAGAAAGGTATACTGTCATGTAGGTAAGCTTCACCAAAATTACCATTAACTTTGGTGTTTGGACAAAACTCTGATAAAGTTTATTATTTCGTAAACCTATCATGAACTTTTTCACTAGACCACCATGCCTCACGACAGACAGTTACAGACATGTTTTGGACAACTTTGCCCTTGTGTACTTTATGCATCTTCTATATTACCCTCAACTTTGTGTGGAACATACAATATTATGTCTTTTATCTCACTTGGTAATATACTTAATAAACTAAGAAACATGACATTCAAATAGCGCAAATACAAAAGCTATAAAGTTATATCATGCGGACCAACCAATGTTGAAAACTTTAAAAAAGCGTAAGTACAAGGCGAAGCATTAGGCCCTCTTATGAAGAGGGTGTAAGCTCAAAGAATGTGGCATAAGCGTCATGAATTAAGTATATTTTAAGTTTAAAATGAAAATAATAGGTATAAGGTGGTGGCTCATTTTGCTAAATAAGCTATCAAGAGATAGTCATATAATGACTGATGAGGCTCACCTAAAAGTCACATCAAAAGGTGTGACCTCACACTTCTATCCCTTGGTAGCTCATTTGGCCAATGAGCCGCCATCTCATAACCATCAAACACTTTTAAAAATTTATAAAAATTATAACATTACACACACACAGTGGTATAATAATTTAGAAATAGATACATTCATGTCCTAATTAGTAAAGACTTAAATATGTGAAGTATAGATATGCAAATCATAATAATTAATCTACATACATAAGATATATGCTAGAAGATCCTTCTTTGAATGTTGTCCACATTACAACCTCACCAATGGTAGAGGACATCTCTATTAAGAAATTCCTATATCTTGACTCAATATATTGGATGGAGGCTTTGCCACATGGCTTAAAATACATATGAAAGAGATATATGCGAAGTTTGTTTGGTATTACTAGCCACTGCCTATAAGCTTAAGGTTTCGGGTCAAGGGGTTAGTTGACATTCTTCTTTTTTGAAATATTGATTGAAATTTTTGATAAATAATCAACCATGTAACAAGTTATATATATCACTTGCATGACTGTGTATAGCAGAAAGTAATAGAATAAAGCATAGATCCTTGGTAAACCAGCTACCTGAGAATAGTTCCTCTTATTATGCCCAAATATGCCTGCCATTATGCTTGACCGAGAAGAATTTGGTGAAAAGCCCTCCCATGGAGGTACAAATATCAGTTTGGTGCATTGTACAGGAACAAGATTTCTGCTGAGCTTCTCCCACCAACCGATCCCTAAGGACCACCATCTAATCATCAACCCATTCTCAGAGAACGCAACAAGTCCCTGATTCAGTACAATATTAATTATGAAGCTGGTTGTTCATTCACATTTGGAATTAGCTAATAAAAGAAACTCTGCAGGTATTTTCGATATTTAGAAATTCAATTTTCCAAACTGTTAAAATGCATAGAATAGTACCTCTCAGGAATTGTTAAAATTTACAAACATTTCTTTATCAGCATGGAAATGGAGAGATGGGGAGAGAGTTTGTTAGAGATTATTATCTTCTAAATGGCCCTTAAAAGAAGTGAATGACAAACAGGGATCCATGTAGCCAAGCCCAATATTCAGCATCCAGGCTTTATATTATTCCTGTTATTTTTGTATGCTGGATTGCTACCTTGTAAGTAGAACTTTCAAAACAAAGGATGTTAGTAATGCACCAAGAAAATCTTGAAAAAGAAAAATACACCGTAAGGGTGGATTTATCTAGAGCTGTGTGTAATGTAGGTGCCATAAGATTTAGCAAATGACAGCCTGTTTGCTTACTTTGCAAATAAGGGCCTGTGTGGAGCTGAGGAAAACCCTACTTCTAGCCTAAAACCATTTTCTTTGCTTTACCAAGTTTTTACCTGAAAACTTTTTTTTTTCACCCTTAAATCACGGGTGAAAAGTGGTTTCCATGTGATCTATAGTTTGCTTGTTAAGTAAAGAATATGAATCCAAACTCGTAGGGAACATGAGAGAAAGAGATGGGTTGGCAAAAAGTTTTTTATTGCTAAAAAGTGAGCTTTCCAGCTAAAAGTGGAGCAAAAAGGTCGAAAATGGCATTTCCTATAATCATAACATTTTTAGGGTTTTTTGGAAATGATTCCCCTAAGTTTTTTACCTACCAAACTAAGGAATAGGAAAGCATTTTGGGAAAATTCATTTATTGGGTGGGTGTGTCAGATGCTTTTCACCCCTTCTCCACCCTCTCCAAGTGAACCAAACAGCCCTAAAATTGGAAGTCTGTACAATGCACTTAAGCTTTTGCATAACACAAACCTGGTTTAAAACTATGCATGTAATAAGTAAAATAATTTGGGGTTTAGTGCAAACAGTAAAATCTGAGATATGTTACCGGAAGTCATTGGTTCAGGTAATAGATTCGCATCTTTTCTATCCTTTTCTTTTCTTATCCCTTTCTTTTAACTTACCAATACTGAAAAAAGTAAAGGATTTAGTTGTAAATCTTGATTAATACTAGATCTAAAGTAACGAATGTCATAACTTAAATATCATATGGATAAAGGGAACAATAAACCCAAATTATATTTCACTCTAAAAGACTCGTTTAGATTACATGCCAAAGGTAACTAGAATGCATTTAACAATCTAAAGTTTCTACTGTATTCTTAGTTGTAGAATGATAATCTTGTAAGTACAAGAACATATTCATAAGTAATATTTTCCGTAATCGATAAATCTATCTTATGAGACATTTTTAAAATACATGTCAAGGTATAAATTTTACTCCTAAAAGGAATCATACTGTCTGTATTCTGTAACAAAACTTTCAGGTGATCATTTCTCTACAAGAGTGCTAGCCAGTCTAGGAGTTATTTCATCCAAGGTGACATAGAAGAGAAACACGAGGATATAGATAAAGGTAGAAGTCTTATCATTAGAGGGCTCGCATCGGTAGTAGTCTCTTTTATATGAAATGTTTAATGTCTAAACAGCAGGTAAGTAGGCCTTACATATATCGTGGATTTCAAAAATAAAGAAAACAAAGTAACGGGATTATACATATTTTAAATCAAATCAGTCTAAACCAATGGGTGGGAAAATCTCCCCCTTCCCATAGTAGCCTTGTCAAATGTTTCATTTTCCGTAAGCAAACCTTCGGTTGATTTTCTCTATAAGAGTGATAGGCAGTCTAACAATTAGTTCATTCAAGGGTGATAAAGAAAAGTGACAATGCACTTATGATTACTACAAAACTATCCCCAAACCCCAATCCAGCAACTCCTACGCCGCCAAACTGAATAGCTTTGGCTCCATATCTCAGTTCAGGAGAAATCATGTTCATATAATTAAGTAACAAATGGTTGGACTCAAATTAATATTTGAAGACAATGTTAACCAAGTAAATAGACTGACGTGTATCTCCATTATTTGAAGGCTGTTGGACTATGAGAATATATTCTCTTTGCCAATAAACAGGTATGAACTCTTCAAGGATGTATGATTGAAAGAAGGATAGGCAATGCGGAAGAAAGATCAATGAAGCAGATGGCATATGGCACGCTATACCATCCGTAGTTAC